CGACCACCCGGGGCTGCTCCCCACGGGGGCCGGAGCGGGGCGGGCGTGGCGGGCCGGGGGCTGCGGGGCAGGGGCAGCCGCCCCGCCGCGCTTGTGCGAGGCTCTCTTGCCCTCTAGCGGGCGAAGTCAGTGGGGCGGCCCCGCTGTGCCCCCGGCCAGCGCTCCCCGTGCCACGCCAGGGCCCGCGGCCCGCCCGGAGCCCCGGCTCCCGCTGCGGGACAGCGCGGCCACACCAGCCCGGCAGAGCGGGCGGGCGGGCCCGGGCCGTGCCCTGACTGCGGGCGGCCTGGCTGGGGAGCGCCGCAGGAGAGGCGCTCCATGGACAGCGCCTGTCCAGGGTGCCGCCAGCACCGCTCAGCCAGATGCGGGGAGGGGGGCCCAGCGCCACGGTCCCAACCAGCAGCACGAAGAGCTGACGAGCAAGACCATAATGGGGCAGTCAGAGGCACCATTCATCTTTGCGATCCCTTCAGCCAGTCATGGTGGCTGACCGCGTCCCCATGGCTGGGATCAGCTGAGCAACAGATGGGGAGCCAAGGGGGAGCACGGGGCTTTGCACCCCAGTTGCTGGGCAGGCATCGTGTGCCCAATGCTGCTGAGGAAGGGAGTAGCTGCTGAGGACAAAAGAGCCCTGGGCATGGCCTTGCCACACAGAGATCTGGAGACAGCAGTGAGCCCACAGCTGAGTGGGGTGGAAGTGATGCCGGAGGCTGTGCTTGCAGAAGGGAGGACATCTGTGCTCATGTGGGATGTTCTGACACATCGTAAGAAGACCAGCTCTTTAAGTTGTCTATCCCATGTTTACTAAGAATTCTCCTTTTCTGCTAATGAATTAGAAAATAATTCAGTATCCCCATCTCCATCATCTTCTTCCTTCCCGGACCCAAATCAGTAATGTACTATCTCCATCTAACAAAAGATCTTACAACATCACTAGGAATTTTTGCAGTCCAAACGTTTCAGAAAATTTGCTTTTCTATTTAAGACTTTCTTACTGTACTCTTCAGCTTGACCTCATCACTTCATCAGTTTTCCCATTTTGTAAATAAAGTTTATACTTTTTCTCCCTCCCCATTTTTAACATTATTTTGAGTATTATATATTGCATTTTTACTCTGACTGTTGTTGTAACCACCGAACCACAACACATTTAAAACTATCCTTCTCATGAAATACAATTTGTTAGCCATCTAACAGAGTTCAGAATTTGAGTTTGTTTTCTTCCTCTCCAAAGCTTTCCTCCTCTCACTCTCATTTATAATTTTTGGGAAACAGTGATACCTCTTGAGTCCCCTCTCATTGTGTGAGATAGTGTAGTGATGACAAAGTCCTCTGTTTTCTGGTAGTGAATATAGTTGGGTCACTTGGAATGTAGTCACTTGGAAACCTCCACTCTCTGCTACAGCTATTATAATCCTTTGCATGCCTGTGTCTGTTTCACTCGCTTAAATGCTATCCAATTACTTTGTTGATAACTAACATATTTTGCGTGGTTTTGCCCGATGATTTTCTTAATCATTCTGTTGCTATTTCACCAATAACTCAACAGTACGTAACTGCACTCTGATTCAGTGATGTGAAGGGACAGAAAATAATATAACCATTTGCTTTAAATAATTACCCTGGGTATGTACTAATGTTTTCCTTTTGGCTGGCCAAGATAAAAGCATCTCTGACTAGAATCTTGCATGTTTCTCCTGAACTTACTGCTTTTACAGGAAGACTGGAGATCCTTCCTCCTTGTACAGGGAGGAAAGGAGCTGCTCTGGAGAAGTCAGTAGTTGTGGGGAGCTGAGGGATTTTAAGATTACTAAGCCATTCCCCATAGAGAACTACCATCTTCTGTTCAAGATATTTCTGTTTGCCCAATCTGCATAAGTTTACAAAGGAACTGGGCAAAAGGTGAAGGGGGAGAGAAAGGACTGTACTGTACAAATTGCCATCAGCATAATCTTTTCACATGCTGTTATGAGCCACGAAAAGTATTTTATATATTGTCCCATGTGCTGGTGAAGAATTGGAAATGCCTGTGACACAGCAACTACTAAGGTGTTTCAGATAAGGAGTTTTTCTCCTCCAGATTTTTGTCATGAACAGCTGCAACCCATGTTTGCTGTTACACAGGAAGTTAATAAGTAGTAAAAGCAGTATCTTCTAGGTTTGAAGTAAGTGAAAACCAGGCTTTCCAGAAAAGGAAAAAGAACCTAACAACAGTGGTTCTAAATTACTACACAGCCCTCAATGTGACTCTCGCTTTCCCTCTCTGTCTCTCAAGGCACTGCTTTTATGAGTCACCAACACGCTGCTGAGTACCCGGCCGTATCTTGATTCCTACCTAGGATTTCTCCTCTCTGTGGAGGAGCAGAACAGAAAAGAGTCTTCATTCCTCTACCCCCACCCCTCAAAATTTATACTGGGTTTCCACATCCCACCCTTCGTTTCTCAGAAAAATGGGATAAGGAGATGAAAAGCTCTTTACTGACAAGAATTTGCTTCTCTGCCTTCATAGCTGCTTTTGACAAAAAACAGCTTTCCCACCCTGTTGTTTAGATTTCATCAAAGTCTGCGAACCTGAAATCCACCATAGGAATTCCAGTCCCCTCCCAGAAGCTGTTATTCCAAGAAAGCTTAGAAATTCATCAGAGGGTCTGAAAAACACATCAGCACTGGGAATCCACAACTAGGATTTCACGCCAGAAATAGATGCCGTCTGAACTACTTTGGTTTTTCTAGGCATTGCAGTGAAATCACTGACAGGCGATGAGAAAAGAAACTGTTCGGGAGTTTCCTGTGCTTCCTCCGCTTTAAATATTGCTCTAGGTTTGAGGAGAATTACAATTACTGTCAGGGATTCTCAGGGACTGACTTAAGAGCAAAACCAAGCACTGAGAACTCACTTCTGCAGATACAGACAAATTGGCTGTGACTACCTTGCCCTTACTGCAGTAGCACTGCAGCCAACAGAACTATGCATGCAAATTTTCAGACATCAGGCAGACATCTAGTATTAGGTATCCTGCTTTTTTTAATGGGGGACAGACTTGTGAAGAAACATATGGCAAAACTGAAGGAAAATTATCTTGCCAAGCCTTGTGTTATGCTATTTGTATAAATCTTGATATGAACAAGCAGAAGGAATTTGCTTGAACTTTCTGGAATTCATACCTTGTATTCTTGTAATCATCTCAGTGTTCCAGCTCTGTATCTGGGAACCTGGTTCTGCTGCCCTGCTGGGGGCTGCTAAGGAGAGCTGTGATATACAGAGCTTGCAAGCTTGCTCTCTTCTCTATAGAAGTGTTCTCTGGCTGTGTCTTCCAGTGGGGTAATGGTGATGACACTGCAAACCCTGTTCCTCAAAAAAAAAAATGGAGCAAACTCCCTGCTTAGGTAAGCTGTCACAGCACCCTCCACTGCTGGACCTCTGATAATTTATAAAACACAGGACAAGCACATTTGAATCCTTTATTCTCTCAGGTAAAAAATCCTCTTATACTTCATCATGACAAACACTCAGAATTTGTGGGCCATTCTTGGTCACAGGTTACATAATCAGAAAACTGTAGAAGGCACCATACAAGGATAGATGAAAGCAAAACCCAGGTACACCAAGCACAGGCAGATGAGCAAAAGATCTAAGAATTGCTTAAACATTTGCATGGTCACACAGTGAATTTTTGGAAAGACTGTTTACAGTCTAGCTGCTCAAAATACTCAACTTGCAACTGTAAAAGTGTGAAGACAGAGGGCTTAGTAAATGTTCTTGAATAGTCCTCTCTGTAGATTTGACTGTCACTAAATTTTTCCTGTGTGCAGATTTTGGTCCAGTAGTTGCCATATTTTATTTATAATTTAAGTCATATGCTGTTTTCATAATTTTTTGTCTAGTCATTTTAAACACCTTTGTACAGTATTCAAACAACAAGAGCAAATCTTTTTTATTATTATTATATTTGCAATTTCCCTTGGGTTTAAGCAAAGTCTATATAATGCAAAGTCTATGAAACACTTCAAATTCACTTTGAAATTTTATTTCAAAGCTACTCAAAAGTTAAGGCATTAGAGTTGTCTATTAACTTAAGAGTGAGAATGAAGCTTATTTCTTAGCATTTCTGAAAAGTAAAAATAAATCTGTATGACACACAAATGCCACACTTGAAAAATAACCATACTGGTAATATGTTTTGAAAAGAGTCAGTCATTTATAAGGATGTTTTACAAGTGGAGTCTCTCTTCAAGAACAGAGAATCAAATACCTTCCATTACTGAAATAATTTTAAATTATGCATTCTATAGGGGCAAATATTGAAAAGATAGAGTCTAAATTAAGACTGAAAGGCTCAGGTTCTCAGAACTGTCCTCAGTGTCTCTTTTTGCACAATTACATTCAAAATCTCTGAAGATGTCTCACATGAGTGCTCAGTAACTGAACTGCAGAAAGTACATGGAGAAAATTAGGTCCATTAAGATCTCTTCATAGAGTCCTAGAATTGTTTAGGTTGGAAAAGATCCCTAAGATCATCAAGACTAACCTTTAACTCAACACTGCCATGACCACCACCACTAAACCATGTCCCCAAGTGCCACACTACATGACTTTTAAATACCTCCAGGGATGGACTCCACCACTTCCCTGGACATCCTGTTCCAATACTTGACAACTTTTTACATGATGAAATTTTCCCTAATATCCAGTCTAAACCTCCCCTGGTACAACTTCAGGCCATTTCTTCTCATCCTGTCTCTCGTTACCTGAGAGAAGAAACCAAACAAACCTGGCTATAACCTCCTTTCAGGTAGTTGCAGAAAGTAGTAAGTTCCCCCCTGAACCTCCTTTTCCCCAGGCTAAACACCCCCAGCTCCCTCAGCTGCTCCTCAAAAAACTTGTGCTCCAGACCCTTTCCCAGCTCCATCACCCTTCTCTGGACATTCTCCAGCACCTCAATGTCCTTCTTGTAGTGAGAAGCCCAAAACTGAACACAGCACTCGAGGTGTGGCCTCACCAGTGCAAAGTACAGGGGGACAATCACTGCCCTGGTCCTGCTGGCCACATTGTTGCTGATAAAGGTCAGGGTGCCATTGGTGTTCTTGGCCACCTGGGCACACTGCTGGCCCATGTTCAGCTGCTGTCAACCAGCACCCCAACATTCTTTTCCTCTGGGCAGCTTCCCAGCTACTCTTCTCCAAATCTATAGCATGGGGTTGATGTGACTCCTTAATGTCTTTAACTATTTATTTACTTATGACCTAAGTAAGGATAATGATTTCAGTGCCTGATTTTAAGCTCCTGGCTGTTTTAAATTCCTGGCCTCATCTTTTTGTAGCGAGATTACATTTCCATTAATCTGTGGTATTTTTTTCACATGAAAATTTAAAATAATCACTTTACATCACTTCATACTTCCTTAGCCCTTCTGAAAATTATGTCAACCCAACCTAAATCGCTACAGGTTTCCTATTTCATGGGATCCACAGAAATCACTGAAGGTTTCCTATTTCATAGGATATACAGCTATGATCTTTGCTTTAGAGTATTTGAGTAGTCACAGGGGTAATCCTGCCAGGTTATGGAGAACAGACATGAGCTGCCACGAAGGCTAATAAGCATGGTACTTTTTTATTCATGGTACCTTTTTATTCACATGATTCTTCTTAAGAAAACTGAGAAGAAAAGCTGGTGCAGGCAACAAGACAGCATGCAATCAATATACACCATGAGACGAAGAACACTTCAAAGTTCAATACTAAATTCTGCCTGTAACTGGCCTTTCTAGCAATTCCTTTCAAGAGCAGTTCTTAGATAAGCTATTCCTGAGTAGAAGGTAAAATGATACATTTTTTGTATCTTTTGAACAGCATTTAAGCACAGAGATCAGTCTTTACTCCTTTTCCTATCAGACAGAGCAGTCTGACTCCTCCCTTTCACTTTAGTTGGGTAGCATGGGCGTACAGCTCGCAGCTATTGTGTGTTTGGGGACTCAGGGCTGACTGTGGCTGCTTTGACCCTCAATACTTCAGCCATCTTTGTCAGGCTGAAAATGCAAATCCTACTTCTGTCCACTGGCCAAAAATATTAGGCAGTAACCTCAAACCTCCTGAGGCAAGATTCACACAAGTGGCTCCAGTTAAAACTGCTCAATTGTATAGAACTGCATGAGCTTAACCCCTCTTAATCCAACAAGGAATATAAACTGCTCAACTCAAGGTCAGTTACATCCAGATCATTACAAAACATTAATTCACACTAAGATGGAGAGGAACTATTCCTGACATTAAACTCCTTGAATATATCCACAAATGCAGGCACCCCTGTTAGTCCTAATGCTGATATTTCGAATATATGTAACTGCTAAAAATTAAAGTCCATTAGGATGCATTTACAAAAATAGACTGTTACATCTCCACTGAGAACCAGACTAGGTATCTAGTGACACAAAAGAAGGAAAAATGTAAAATTCCTATCTCATGAGAGAAACTTGTCCCAGTCACCAGTTTAGACTGATAGGCAAAGATTTCTCTCACATTGCAGAATGCTGTCTCATGCTCTTCAGAGGACATCTGTTCCCAGTCACTACAGGCTAGCTGGTTCCCTTCAGTTCCAGCATTTCCATAGTACTAACTGCTGCTGCATGGCAATTACTGTTGAGTCTGCAGAAATTCATCCAACTTCTTTTTGCTGACAACATAAACTATGAGATTGCAATGTCATGTGAGCTGTTTTTACGTCTCGTCTTCTGGGGTTTGTTTTTTTCCCTCTAATTGCTTATAATTATTGAAAGGTTCTTACACTTTCCTGCTTCTTTACCTATTCAGGAAGGTGCAATCAACTCAATTCAATCATCTTTGATCTCATCTCCAGTTCTGCTCTCAGTATGGAGCCATCTCATCTTCAAATTCCACTGCAGCCTTGCCTTTCATCTTAGTCATGCTTTGGTGTGGCTGTTTGATGACAGAAGCAAGAAATAGTCATGTACGGAGTCCTCAAGCTCTGAATCATTGAGCATTTGGTGCAGATTTCTAGCATTTTGCCCTAAATAATATTAATACCTAGTGACCTTGCACTGGGTATTACGACATTTGGTCTTCTTCCTACCCTTCCATGAAAAGTTCATTCAGGTGTTCTTGTCTAACAATCTGATCCTCTTCGACTTTTTTAAGAAATTTGTCATCCTTAAACTATGAGATTTCTCAAAGAACTATATGTGTAAAACAGACTAAAAGAATATGGAATTCTAGAGCTAAACCCTGTATCTTTGTATCAGCTATGGCCCCTGTGCCACAAATTCTTTGTCAAAACTACCTTCGGCATCAAGGCCTCTGCATTGTAGGACACACTCTTCTGAAATGCACGGAGTTAATATATCATCCTTCCCCTCCAGATGTGAACATTCTCAGCTGTGCAAGTCTGGAGCTACAGCAGAGCCAGATGAACAGCTGACTTACTGTGTCCTGTCAATGATGTATCACATCCACACGATCTCTTTTGCGCAAAAAGCTCAATAGAAATGTTCAAAACACGAGCTCTTCCTTCAATTAAGCTTTTCAATATTAAGCAAAATTTCAGAGATTTTTTGAATTTTCTTTGTTTGTATTTGTGTGGTCATTATTCTCAGTGTTTGCTAAGTGGCAACATACCTTCAGAAGACAAATACTCTACCATATTTTGGTTCTCTGGAATACTTCTTTTTTATTCTTGTTTAGCCTCATTGCCAGTTTTAGTACAGCCAACATTCTTTAACAGACGATGAATCAAAGAGAACCACAACTTCATATTTTAAATACCTGAAAGTCTGTAGAAGTCCTTGGGAAAAAGAAAAACTCTGCTTAAACTTAAATTGTGCATCCAAAAACTGGCAGCACCTTTGGGAATTAAAAATCTCCACAGTACAAATGAAACTAATGTGATCGCAAAATAACAGGCTGTCTTAACCTCTATCTGTAAATAAAATACAATCTGTGCCACAAATTTGGTTAAGAGGGTTAGGGGACCAAGAGTCAGAGGAGACTCACATGAGCAACAGGAAAAGACTTGCTTTTGTTGGGTTTTTGTTCTGTTCATTTTGAACAGGTCTTTTATAGAGCACTTTCTGACAGGAAACCTTGATCCAGAAGCCTTCCAAGCACAAACCTCATCCAGAATTCAGCAGAAATTTGTTGGATGCAGAACTCATGGGATTACATCTGGCACCCAGTGTACAGTGGCAAGTGCTCGTATATGCACATAAACAGCAGCATCTACTTCTCTAGCAGTAATTTAGAGATTTGTAGGCAGCGTTGCAGCACCACGTTATATAGGCACACTGAAAATCACTAAAAAATCTAAAAACAGAACACTCTTTCCCCTGAATTGAAGCTTTGGGCTGAGGTTCTACCCTTCATTTCAGTTTGCACAATATGTAAAAGCTACAGATAAAGACAAAAGGAATTCCTCTTCCTTCTCTCATCATCATAACACTCTTGATCACAACATTATTAGATATTTTTCAGGCTGCTAATTCAATGCCCACTGGCAATTCTGCTCTTTTCAAGCACATTTTTAATGTTATCCCATCTGAAATTCAGGTCTGGTAAATATAATAAATTTGATTATAAAACTTAGATTCTTTAGTTATTAAATTAGCTTCTTTTCAGAAAGCATGCTGAATCAAAAGAAGAAAAAGCGGCAAATTATACCTGACAGCTTTAATGCACTTATAACTATATGAATAAAAGATGTTGTGATTCATCATAGATAATAAGTCTTGCAAAAACTTTGGGTGAGCTGAGAAAATAATACTAACAGCCTTGCAAAACTACTTATAATTTTAATAATTTGGGTGGCAGGGAAAATGTGGTAGATTCTGAAGACTAAAAAGTGGTCCAAATTGCATTAAATTTTCTCTTGCAGAATTTCTCCTTTTGTGTAAAAACACAACAGTAATTTCTAGTTTCATAACTGCCAATGTAGTATCAAGTATGGAGAAACCAGGCAAGATACCTTTTGTGAGTAAACATCTTACCATTCCTCTGATTTACTAGAAAACAGTATAAACTCTCCCTTTTATTCACAAGCCTAACACCTAATATTATTATCTCTATGACAATAGGGTTGTGTTTTGTACAGTATTAGTATTGTAACTCCAGGATGCACAGGAGAAGGCAGGACAGATGATTTTAATGTCTAAACCCATTTCTGTAGGACATGTAAGGTGGATTTAAGAAAGTGGATCAGTAGTGACATAAGACAGACACAGACATCCTTGGATTTAAAATCAAACGTGGATGCCAAAAGTTCAGTAATGCAGAAATTTTATTTTATTTTTTTCATTTGCAGTAATCAACCAGAAACCACCCAAAAAGGCAATAATGGCAGAAAATATGCTACAAATAGCATTTACCTTCAGAGATTATTTCCAGCTCTGTCACTGCCTTGTTTTAAGATCTTAGACAAGTCATTTCAGCCTAATGCAGTCCATGGTACAAAACACAAGGTAATCAACCTCTAGTGACCCTCCACAGATGCCGTACTACTTAGTTCTTGATGAGGTACCCTAACCTTTCAGAGCAGCAGAGTCTCCTGTGGCTCTCCCTGGAGGGATTCTGGTACCTCTCCAACTACCAGTGGCAGTTGAGTTTATGGTGATCAGCAAGTCAACCTAGTTGCTGAATACGCACAATATTACTTACAATAAAATAGAGGTTATAAAAAAAGAGATTAAGGTGGAGAGTAGACTAAGAGGAGAAGACAACAGGTGGAGATTCCATGGGTGTTAAGTCATTTAGACCCTACTTAATCTGTAACAACAACTGCTAGCCTACCATTTATTCAATATAATAATGCAATACTTATTCCTCAAGCTTGCCTTCCACTTCGTCAATCCAGGCCTGGTAATAGCAGTGGGCTGTTTTGGGTGCTGAGATGTTATCAGGTGTAACAGATCGCTGTCATGGGTAGATTTGGGGTAAGATCACGCCATGGATAGTCCCTGGTTTCCAGCACATTACCTACAGACTCTGCTGGTCCTAAGTTCTTCACTGGTGCCAGCTTCCTGGAGCTTCTCAAGGCTTATGATGTGGGAGGCTTCTGACTGACCTCAGATCGTCTGAGTCAAAATGGCAGTTTATCTTGCTGCTGTGGAGAACAATAGTCATCAGTCACCCTCTCCCTTCTCACAGAGCCCCACCCAGCTAATCTTAGGGGCAACTTAGCACGGTAAGGCAAGCACTCTTTAAGTGCCTTCAACTACCACAGGCAAGTAGGCAGGTATCCTCCAGAACACTGGATCATTTAATTTTGTCAGCTCTCTCCAAGCTCTCTCTGCAGCAGATGATAGACTAATGTCTGAACTGACAGAAGATACACATATTTTTCATCCAAGTCAAGACATAAAAAAGATGTAAATTCCAGTGCTTACAAATACAGATGTTCATAGGCCTAGTAACAAGTTAGTACACAGGGAGGGAGGATATCACAACTTTTCCCATGCAACAGCAATAAGATATTCTTCCCTCAGCTGCATCTTGAAGTAACACATCCCTGCTTTCATCTGTCATCAGGGTGGCAACCCATAATCAAACTGTGCCTGACTATCTCTTTTGTTGCCAACTCTGACAGCATATGTGCCCAGCAGGTTTGATATCCAGATCTGCAAGAGTTCCTTTTCAAGAATCTCTGCAGCAACCATAAGCAGAAAAGAAAAGCAGTTCACAGATATTTACAGCTGAATAAAAATTATCTCAGTTCCCCTTAAAGCCAGAAAGAGTGATACGGATATTTCTTTGGTTGAGACTCAACTGAGCCACTTTAAACACCCATCTCGGAACGAGACAAGTCATGACACAGAGATGCACACTTCCCCCCATTAGAGAGAGCATAAGGTGATAAATTCAGGTGCAGAACCTGTATGTACACATTTATTTTTAGTGGGATGAATCTTAGCCATGTCTTACATACTCCTGCCTTTCAGTGAAAACCTCCATTGCACATGGTTTAATCTCACCAGTCTCCTTTCCTCAGAAATGAAGTTACAGCTGTTTTGCTGTGGATCCTACCAATACTGTAGGGATACATCTTTTGTGCTACATGAACGAGAGCTCAGGGACCAGAACCCCCATCATGCAGGTGTTCTAGCTGTGCTCTGGGCTGCTCCAACTTAATCTCTCCATTACAGACCAGATACAGAGAATCTACACCTAAGCTGCGGGAACATGAGACCCATAAACACTGTAAATGTCACGTGAACAGGAGACTTCCTAACCCTTGTGAACATGAGACAGTCTGTGTATCTCAGCTTTTTGCTCTTTGTATATCTTATGCCTCCTTGGACGCATGCAATTCAAATATTGCAGAGTACCAACTCCCTCAAGTTCCTTCAAGACACTTCCCTCCTTTAGAAAAGGGTTCTGTAATGGACTAAAAACCTCTCTGGGTGTACTCAGCCAACAGCTCCTGCCTGAATGGTGCCAAGTGGGGACCACTCCCCAAAGAGCAGCTTTGTCCATAGTTCCTTCAGAGATTTTATTAATGACACTATTACTAAGCCTTTGTGAGTGGATCCAGTAGTCTAGTTTGATGTAGCTACAGACTGAGGAATTCCTCACTAGCAAATATACCAAGACTGCCCACAATATTTACACAGATAGCAAAGCTGTTTTTCAGCTCTGCAACTGCCAAATGCAGAAACCTATGGAAAGAGATTCTGCTGACTACAATGAACTTTGTATTAGGACTTTTAAATCTTTTAGGAAAGGATGAGAGAATCTTTTATAGTGAAGGTATGTGTCTACCACACACTCATTCTATTAGCTTAGATTGGACCCTATACTAAGTTTAGTTACTAAACAACTACACATACATATTTGAAAAATAATCATGCCTTCCCATGCTTACACAAAAGTAGGTGTAACCAAAGCTCATAAATAGTATTGTGAGCAAAAGGAGAAAACACTACTTGAAATAATGGAATACATTACAGAAAACAGTAATTTAGAGTTTTATAATTCCTTTCTTTTTCACAGAAATGATTATATATAATTCACCATCTTCAGCAGTATTAAAGATGTTATAATTAAGGTAACTTGCATTAATAAATCACAGTAGTACTGCAACGTGTTATTAATAGTAGCTTTAGAGAGTGGTCTGGGAAAAGAAACAAGAAGGTATATGATACATTTTCTACTTCAACATTCCCAGAAAACATATATTTTAAAAATATTTTACAGGTTAAAATACTGATAATTCTATAATTGTTTCTTAAGTAATACTGTGAAGTAATGTCTTTGCCATCTTTATAGTATTTTTTGAACTTCATAACAATAATTATTTAAAATTATATCAGTCTCAGTCACATTGCATTTAAAAATATAAAGTCAGAGTCCCTAATAAATCCTTCTAGTTTTTCAAGTAACACAGATAAAATTAACTTTGCTAATCTTAACATGTTTTATTGTACTCTTATGTACAATTTCTATCCCTCTCTTTTTTAAGTACAGAATCTATACAGTGGAAAGTCTTAAGCAACCTTAACTATAGTTGTTGCTGCCAGCTCTTCCTATAAAACTCAGGGTAAAATACTGGTATAATTAAAATTGATTGCAATGCTCACACTGATTTCAGATAATGAAAGAAAAGAGAAGAAACGCGCCCTGAAATACAGTAAAGTCCCTGCAATAAAATTTTATATTTACATATGATTTCAGGAAAACCTATGATTAATATATTGTAGGCAAAATACATATGTACACATAGGTATGTGTATAAAAAGACAGGTAAAAAGTCAAAATTATAGGATTTCACTTAGATATAGGTCTACCTTTTTAATCAGCGCTAGCAACACCACAGAAGAATGTTTGGAAGGGAAGAAAAATGAAGTATAACTTATTCAGCTGGAAAAAGGAGGAAAATATAATAGTTAAAATACATAATGTAATTCCATTACTTAAAGCATTTTCAGGGAACTTCTATTATTGTTGCAAAATTGCCATGGGATGTTATCTTTAAAAGATAAAATAGAAGTTGAACAACAGTTCTTATCTAATGGCAAGAAAGTCCCCACTCTTCAAAGATTTAGGTATACAGCTGATTTTATGCAGTCAAAGTAGACTTGCTTCAGACCACAAAATTTTCCAAAATGCTTAAAATTAGGCATAATATATGTAACTTGTCACAAAATTGAGACCTACAGCCTTACACGGAAAGTCATAGCAAACATATTTTTCAAATTAAAAAAAATGCATAGTCTTTCACAAGACAATATCAGTTTTGAGCTGCATTTTTTATTTTATTTTCTGACCTGTATTTATTCATAAAAGCAGTGTTTTAAAAGTCTGCATAACATTTCTTTTATGAATCAAATATTTATCACAAAAAGGTCACTGACAACTTAGAAACTGTATTTTAAAATCTTTCCAATTACATTACTGGTATTTTCCATTCTCACATTTATTTTTTTTAAAGTAAGAATTTTGCTTTTAACTTTTCTTCTCTGTTTTTAAACTTGACTGAAAAAAAGTAATTCTGAAGTTTTAGGGAACTTTTTACAAATGCCAGCAAGGTGTTTTTTCAGCTAACTATATACAAAGAGTGTGGGAAGACAGTATGTTAGAAAGGTCAATATAAATGAATGCTATGAGAGGTATTTGGGGACACATATCTTAGATAAATTTTAATTCTTTTCCTTTTAAATGGACTCTATCATGATAAGCTTTCAAGTAACTCCAGCAAGTTGAAAATATTTGAAGATAAGCTATATTTATAGTGTACTCCTAAATGCAAAGATGACTGTGAACTCTTATTTATGACTGAACAGTGTTATCTAGCCACAAAATGTTCACATTTATTTTCAGTTTTACTAGTGGATGAATGTTGACTGTCTGATAATTAGTTCCATTTCCATCATCTTGAAAGCATACAAAACAACTGGATTTTCTGTAAACTAACAGCACATTGTCATCTTAAAACTTATTCATCAGAGAAAGGTATTTCAGCTTCCTTGAAACTGATCTCTTCTCTATTTGTTGTTTGTTTGGGGTTTTTTTCTTGTGGAGAGGGATGGGTAAAAATTACGCAAATACTCAAGGTAAGGTTGAAAAGGGCTCTGAGCAACCTGACCTAGCTGAATATGTTCCTGCTCATTGGAGGGGGGGTGTGGGGATTAGATGACCTTTAAAGGTTCTAAATATTTTACCAATAATAGTCTTTCTAGAATACAAAAGAGCTTTGGAAGTCCCTGAAGCCAACTCTCAGCCTTCATCATGAAGACCTTGGTACAGGATTTTAGAGACTCTGGATAGAGATCAAGGTATCAGCTGGCCAACTTTAATGACTGTTCAGTTCTAACCAACTATCCTGTACTTTTCTAAGTGTGCTTATTTTGTGTTATCACCTTTAGGAAAACTTGTCTTCCTTGTGCTTATATCCTTACCTGTTTCAGAGCATTTGCCTTGTAATCACAGTCAGACAGATTGCTCTCATGTCCGTTAAAGTAAAATATAAGTGATATTCTTAAAGAGGACCAATGTAATTTTGAAGGGGCTAAAGAAGGCCTGGCTTTGTGAGACATTTTGTTTCAGTCTTCTATCTGAGTTTGGGCAAAATATAATCTACAGTCCAGTTCTTGACCTGCAAAACCAAGCAGTGATATTTCCCGTCTTTCAATTAGCTTGTCTGTTCAGCTCCTCCAGGAAAGTTATCAAAATACTGTTAGCACAGTGCCTAGCCTACTCAGATCTTACAATTTTTTGGAGCTTACTGTCATATGTACTTAGGGTAAATAAGTCAGACCACCCCCACGCTCTTCCTCAGGAAATAGGGACATGTATACAAAAGATGGCTTGCCAGCCCCTCCTTCAATTTACCAATGGCTGATCATCGCCTTCCTCAGTCCAGCTTATGCAGCACTTGAAACCCTGAAAGATGGACGAGCATGATGGGTGGCCCTCAGACTAGGTGACTGAATCCAGCTCTCAACCCTTACTCTGTAAGAAAGGGTTTAGATAGAATGTAACAGGAGTTAATTTAAGCTGTTACAAGAGTAAATGAATGCTGGCACTAAGCCTAATGCTCTTGAGAGGATTGGAGATCTAGCAGAGAGTGAATCCCTGCTGGAACTTGGTCTAACACTGTTAAAAGACACTGAGATGTGGAAGTGGACCTTCAGGCATGAGGAGATCTATGTCTACTTCGCACTTTTAATTTTTTGCTTTTGACTTTGTAACAAAACTTAAAAGAAATTAAATTTCAGCCAAACATGATTTCCTAAGAATCACAGGACTCACAAGGGTTTGTTTCATGGTAGTATGTTTCTGTCTTTTGATGTAGCTTCACATTATATTCATTATGCCTAACAAGAAAAGACTGCATTTAAATATTGTTACATAACTATTCAGTGGAACATTGACTCTTAAGGAAAAATTACATTTTAAACATTTCAGAAAATATTTTCTTAGTCTTTTCATTTGCTTTTTTAATATTTCAGCAATGCAAACACCTCTAGTACAAAGTCTGAAGTCAACATGTAGAAAGCACTTTTTAAAAAAAGCAGGTATGTCTTGCTAAATGTAATGATTTCTGCTTACAAGAGCCAATGAAGAGCAAACTGAGCAGGATGGGAAAGGGAGCTAACATTTTAGTGCTGCAGGGCATAGCAGCTGATGAACTTTGTCACCGCATAGCTCAATTTGTCTGATGAAACTCATATTTACCAGACTGTCAGTGTCATTTCTACAGACCACAGCAAGCTTTGCCTTCTGTCATCAACTACCCTGCAGTGATAATGCAAGGGGTGAAACAGGACTTTCTCTTCCTAGCCAAGAGTTTTCTAGCTATTTAGGCATATGTTCTAGCACTCACAACTGTACCAGCCTGGTTACAGCAACACAACTGTGAGCAACGTTAGTGCAGCCATAGCTCTGTACTCCTGGACACTGCACACACAGGGTGACTTCACTGCAGGGAGAGAAGGGGTGGCTGAGGACACTTAACTTCCACATCAGCATTGCGTGCTTGCAGCCATATGAGGATTCACACTGCAGTTGTATCTGTTCCAGTCAGGAATGTCATCTGAGGAAAGACAAATGACCTACTTATTTATTCTTACTTAAAGAAAAACTGAAAATGCCTGGCAGAGTAATGAACTAAACCTGTTTACCTGTGTTGTGACAGTGTGTTCAACATCAAGTGATCTGGCATTCAGAAATCAAATCACTCTGACATCCTTTACAATGTTTCTAGGATTTTGCCAGCATTCATAAAGTGCTTGGTTATTGGTTGACACAGAAAATAAAGTACTTTTAATATGTTTGTACAAATATTCTGTGTCAAACTATAATACTGGGATGGAAAATATTTTGTCTGTCTAGAGGGAATTAGAAACAGGCAATAGGAATTTGCTGCAAGTTTTACATCTCTGCAGAAGCAAGATTTTGCAGTATGTGTTTGTGTATAATGACAGAGGGATTTTGCGCCTATGTTTTGCAGTATCTGGGGTTTAAAAAACTTTTCCCATATGAGTTAACTAGGTTTCAGGGAAAAGGAAAAAGATTTTGCAATGTACATTAGTATGTGAAGATGGAAACCATTTGCCCTACATGTTGCACTTTTGGGTGATTTTGCAATGAGCAGTCATTTGTGTTCCCCAAAGAAGGTGCTTTTGAAGGATTTGTATCCTACTAAGGACTCAGGTCCTGTGATTCCCGAAGATGTCTCAAACACTTCACAGAATGACACTCAGCAGACAACACATGCTAATGGAAGACTGGATAAATTCGCAGATGCCATTAGTTAAATGACTGAAATTACCACCTATGAAACTGAATTCATGACTCCAAAATTACTTTAGTGGCACTGATGGATTATCACCTTTCATCAGTGGATAACGGGCAAAAAAGGATTTCCATGTTTCAGAGCCTGTACCACAGCATTTGTAATGTTGACAACACAGTACTGCCTGTCATATCAGAAAGAGGTGAAAGATACAGTTTGCTAAAACAGATTTAATACTTTCTGAAGGCCTTCTTCCAAATAGCGAAGTAATAGGAAATTGCATGCTGCCATTCTCTCACCAGTCTTTTTCCACATTCACATGGAGTCACTAGATGAACTGGTCTGAAAACATGGATACTTGTACTGCCAACATACAAATCCTGTTTAGCTTCCTCTCTGCTTTATTTCATATGACCTTAGCATTAATTCCAGGATGGCCCAATTTCTGAATGTGATCAACTAACTAATGTTTGAGTGTGACCAACTGACTCAATCTAAACAAGACCTAGGGAGCTTTGTTAAAACTATAGCAGTGGGAGAAAAAAGTACTCTGAAGCATACACAGTGAATAGCTCTCTTTTGACACAAGTGATTACTGCCAATCAAATTGTTCTGTAATGCTTTTCAGTGAACACCTCTGCCATGACAGTTTCTGTAAACAGCATCTTCTGTTATCTGTATTTCATGAGAAACTCTACTCTGCCCTTGAAAAGGATATTCTAAACTTGTTCATGCTTTTGGTTTTTCTCGTCTGGATCATATACCGCGCAACACACCCATAGGTGACACCTCCAACACCCAGAAAACCCAAACTGCAGAACACACAGCGCGAGGTCAGCCCTGCTTGTGGAAGCTCAACCTAACGTGCCTCTCTCAGTGCACCGGGCTTCCCCGCAGGGTTTTGAACCCCGGTCACGAACCTTCGCTCTTCATGTACTTAGCAGCGGCTTAAAGCTCTGGGACAAGAGTCACATCAGGGAATAAGGTGAGCTCAGCGAGAGACACAGGGTGTGGTTCACCCTGGGGCCGGAGGGCCCCTGCAAGCGCCGTCACTTTTCACTGCCCACCGCACAGGGAGGCCTGCGGTGCTCCCTCCCCTGGCACAGACAAACGCCTGGCCCTGCCCTGACCGTCTTCCTACCACCACCAGCAACCCGCCAGGCCCTCTCCCCTTCCCAGGGGAAGGCCAGGGGCAGCCACAGCCCGCAGGGAAGGGCCCTGGGCCGGGAGGCCCCTCCGTTCGAGGTGTTTCCAGGGAAAGGCCGGGAGCGGGGCCCTGCGGCCTCCCCTCAGCCCCGGGGGACTCCCCTGATCGGGGCCGAGGGGAGGGCGCGACTCCAGGGCAGGACGGCAGCCTTATGGCGCCGGTCACTGCTGCGCACCTCTGCCTGCGTTACAGGATCACGGAATCCTTGAGGCTGGAAAAGACCTCTGGGATCATCGAGTCCATCCTGCGACCGGACACTACCTTGTCAACTAGACCTCGGCACTGAGTGCCGCGTCCAGTCTTTCCTCAACCACCTCCAGGGATGGTGACCACCACCTTCCTGGGCAGCCCAGACCAATGTCTAATCACCCCTTCTGCGAAAAAAATCCCTGCTCTTGTCCAACCTAAAGGTCCCCTGGCTTAGCTTAAGATATGTACTCTCGTCCTGTCGCCAGCTGCTTGGGGGAAGCGGCTGACCCCCAGCTGGCTATAACCTCCTTCCAGGTTACCTCTCTGCCAGCTCCGTCCCCTCCGGCGGTGCGGGCGGCGTCGCTCCCGCCAGCGGAGCGGGGACAGGCCGACCCCGGCGGGACCGACCCGGGGCCGGAGCCGCCCCCCCGGCCTCGAGCCCGGCACGGCGCATGCGCGGCGCGGCGGCCGCGCCGTGTTCCGGGAAGATGTCGGCGGCGTGGAGAGCGGCGCTGGCCGCGGGGGCCCGCGCCCCGCTGCGGGGGCGGCTCGCCGGGATGAGACCCCCGCGGGGCCAGCGCCGCCCGCCCGCCTGCGGGGCCGTCCTCCTGCTCGGGGGAGGCTGCCTGGCGGCGTGCTACAGCCTGCGGGCGCGTGTGCTCCCGACAGTCCTGGCTCAGGTAAGGCAGCGGCGGCGGCAGCAGCAGCAGCAGCATCCCCGCTCCCGCCGACAGGCAGGGCTGGGCCGGCGCGGTGGGAGCCGCGGCCCGGGGGCGGCTGTCGGCGGCCTGTCGGGGTCCGCAGTGGTCAGACCCCGTCCTGCAGGAGCCGTTACGGCCCCGGTGGTCCGGCAGGTAACGCGCGTCCCCGGCCCGCTGGGCATCGGCAGCGCATCACCTACACCGAGCCCGCCGCACCCCACCGGCGGGAACTCCGCCGTTCGCCGCAGCAGGAGAAGGCAGGGTTTGCCTCGGCACCGAGCGCTTCCCCTGTTTGCTTGACAGCCCTGGACCTGAGTCGTTTGAACAAGCACACGGCCTGTGCTGAGCCCTGGGCTTTGCTGGTAACTTTCAGGTGAAAGGTAACTTTCTTCCTTTCACGGTGCCCGGGCTGCACGTCAGGTGCTGTTCGACACTCATGCACCTTTTTTCCTTCTAAAAAAAGAATATTTCGCGAAAGTAGTGCATTTATAACTGATACTTTGTCTGAAACGCATCGCATAGAATGATTTCCTCTTACTCTGTCCAGACTGTGTGTTTGGACACACATTTCCTCTTGCTCTCTCCAAACTGTGCTAAAGTGTATTTTCCCTTGGAGCATCAGTGCACAGTCAGAAGGATATGTTCAAGGACAGATGGTTATTATTTACAAAATTGTTGCAAGTTCCAAAACACAGCTATGTTTCCCAGCTTTATCCTTTTCACGGAGGAAGTGAGCTTTTTCCTGTATTCCTTAAGATAAGAAGTTACTGTCAATTGGAGTTGGTTTATTATTTGAAGGCTGGAAGACCTAAATGTTTTGTAGGCCAGCGGGCTTAGGTGGGATGGGGGAAGAGGTCAGTATATGCTTGCAGTACCCATTACCATTTATCTACTTATATCTAACAATTTTTGGAAGTCCAGCAGTTTGTATGCCGTGATATCTTATCTCTTAAGAGTGATTGAACAGGCTGAACTACAGGCCGATAAATAGCAACTTTTATTCTTGAGAGCAAACTTTATTCTTGAGTCAAGAACAAAGAATTGTTTTTTAATGTTGCAGTCTTAATTGTGGAGAATTTCTAAGCTGCATCTTCTCAGAAAACTCAATTTTTATTAAATAAGCATTTTTCTAAATAGATTAGTTTATTAATCCTGGTTCCTTGTACAGCACATGTTAAGACTTTAATTTTCTATATACGGCTTCTAGCAAGGAAAGCATCCATTACTCCACTAGAAATCCTACTGGAAACATGTCTGCTTGTTGTTTTTATGTTTAGTTATGTGACATTTTTCAGAGGCATTGCATTATGTTTAAAAAGTCCTGTCATTGAGACCAATTTCACATATGCATGGAACTCTTGCTTACATAGATGTGTATGTAGGTATGCATAAAAAGTGTTAAATATGGGAAGTAATCACTTTTACAGGATGCTGAGTGAAGTGATCTGGTTCTAGTGCTGTTGTGTTCTCTTGGAGTAGCCTCCGTGTAACACATGGGCAGTCCTGCAAGTACACTTTTAATAATTCTTGGGGAGAACTCCAAAAGTCTAAGGCTTATTTAACTGATTTGTTTTTGGAGACAGTAAATTGCTGGACTATGCAAATGTTTAGTAGTTTATTCAATTTGAACTTTTCCAGTAAAATGGTTGTTGGAGATGCTAGTTCTCCAAATGTCTCGTGTTCCATATTGCTGCAATTAATTTATTGAGCTTTTCAAAACTCCCGAAGAACTGACCATGCAGAGCATAATATTAAGGCTGGTAAGCTGAATGTGGAACTGGATTGTGAAGGCAGTGAGGAATAGAGTGACAGAGCCAAAGAGGCATGCTGCAAGTCTCTTAAGCAGTTTAGATGCTACTTGTAGCTTCTTGTTAATAGAAATAGAAAATAGTCAAAAGCAAAACAGAGTGTTGAAACAAGTGTGTCACCTTTATTTTATGTTTTGAAGCCGTCTTCTTTCAGTTCAGAGCTTGTGGAATCCTGTTAAATGGAGATGCTTTTCACATTCTAATTAATAGAGGATAACCTTACTTTCTGTTATTATTCCTTTTCATTGTAATTGATCTCAAGCAGCCTTTCTTGAGATTGTGCTGGCAAACAGTATTGAACTGTTTGTTCCTGCTGAGGTGTGCTATGTAGTGGGAGTGTTTGCAGCATACATATGTGAAATATTATAAATTAGGGCAAGTATTTGAAATTAAACAGCATCATTTTCTTTATCATTGTTGTAATAAAGGAATAGGTAGTGGATATGTTTATACTTTTATCTCGTCAACTAGGCCTAACATTTGCTCTTTAGAATGCAGTGAGATTCCAGTGCTTCCCAGTTTTCCTTGGTAATATAGTCTTTACTATTGAATTGCTGCAAAATAGGTGGTAATATTTACAATACTTGACAAAGTCAAGCTAACAGTGTATCTCCATACCATCATAAAATAAATAGCCAACATAAGATTTTATGTGACTTTTTCAGCAGCATCGCTTTATGTTTTAAAAGTGCCGTCATTAAGACCAGTGTTACCTGTGTGTGGTACTCTGGTGTAAGCATAATTTCAGCCGCTGGATAATTCTCATTCTTGTAGGAAGTGAGATTTTACAACCAGTAGTAACTTTGTGCAGAAACAAAGTTTCCTTGTAAATACTTGTTGTTTGTTTAGGTTAAGTTGTTGAAGTTGCTAACTCTGTTTAGATTTTCTGTTATTCTCAATAAAACTGGTCTCTATCAAATTATTCAGACATTTTTCAGCTACACCTTCTTCTAGGCAATTTCTGTTGAAGCTAGCACACAACATGTCAAAGCTAAAGTTCTGTAAATTCAGTATTTATCACTTTTTTTCCATCTAAAGCTTTTGATTATTTTAAAATCAAAGACTGATTCCTTTGGCACCTAGTTTCTTAAATATTTAATTCCTGTCCTTGCTCCCTGCTGGAGTAGGTTTAATCCTTCTCCGGTTGGTTATTGGCTCTCCTAACTTCTGCTCAGAGTGAATGAAATTCAGCCTGTGTACAAGTCTACAGAATCAAAGGTCCTGCAGGGTCAGATAACATGTTTTTGTGAGTTGTATGGGTAGTGTCTGGTTTATTTTGTAGTGGCTTATGTTTGATTACTGTGTTTTAATGTAATTGTTTATTCTGACAATAAATTTTCAGATTGGGTTTTTTTTAAAACTTTGTTTGACCCAGGTTTTTTGTCACCATTTTCACTGCCACTTATCTGTTCTTACAGCTTACATTAAGTAGTTAGCATATTAATAATAAAAATTTCTATATTTAATGTAGTAAAACCTCAGATGTAATCTTTCATACAGCTTCAATAAGTGATTTATGAAGTTATTTTCATTCTCTTCATTTGCTGACCTACTGTTTAGAAATGTGCAACTAATATATATTGGAGTAAGTCCTTAGCACTGGGTATAAAACTCTACTTTACAAAGATTATTATAGCAAAGTGAACACAATTTTTAAAAAAATTTTTTATAGCTACCAGGTTTTAGTTCTATCTCCACCAGTGAAGCTGCATTGACAATATCCTAGACCAGATATAGCTTGTGCTGGGAAAAGCTAGATTTTTTTTTTTTTTAATTAAATTAGCTAATCAGCTTGTATCAAGAGGGGAAAAAAAGAAGGGAAGGGGGTAAGAGCTTTTGTTCTACCAGTGTATCTCAGAATGGGGATTTATGTTGAATTCAATAAAAGTGTTTCTTCTGTTGTCCTAACCAACACAACCAGGTCAAAAATGTACACACTGCACTGCACACTGCAATGATACTATAAGGGCTGCTTTTCTTCTTCAGTAGTGCAATTCAAGTGACACAATGGTATGTAGTTTGTAACCTTGATCAGACCTTGCAGTATTGTCTACTATGTCTTTATTCTCTCAGAGTGTACAGTTTGCTACACTAATAGGGCCTTAAACTGTTGGAATTCTTTCATTAATGTGTGCTCTTATCTCAAGTCAGCTTTGCACACAGCTAGGTTGGTTACCTTTATTAGGGTCAAGAATCAAGTGTGTGATTGTCAAAGAGCATACAAGGAGATTTGGAATGGCACACGCTGTAGCATTTTGTGAAAGGCAATGACTTCTGCCTCCCCATTCCAACTAAATTTGGAACCTCTCAAAGGACTGTAGGATCAATCTTGTATGCATGCAAACTGCAAATGATAAGAAAATTCTGAGAAACAGCAGGCTGCCAGAGGCAGCATATCCTGCCCCTGCTGAGTTTTTTATGGCCGTGTTTAGTCACTAGCTTCAGAAAGAAGCTTATAATTTGATTTGCCCTTGAAAAGCTGCCATCCCTGCAGCGTGTCACAATTTGTGCTAAGTCACTGTTTTCCACATGAGACTGCCTGGAGTTGTTACTAGCACATAGGTGAAGTTATATGTGTGCAAAGTCTTGTCTGTTTGCTGATAAACTTTACTGTGTTTCAGCATTCTTCTTCTAGGGTTGTGGGAGCATTAGTTGGTACTTAAATATTTGATACTGCTTACCTGAGGTAAAGAAGAAAACAAAATTTACTAACAGCATTTTTGGGGTATGTTAATACTTTCTGTTACATGATTGTAGTCTAAATGGTTCTCTTTATCTTACCTTTTCTATTACTGCTCTCTTACATCAGCAATCTTCAATTATTCCAGATAAGAAGAGGCTCAATTTGTGTCCTGGAGGTCTTAAATACATATGTTGTATTTGATCATACTGAAAACACTAAGATGATGCTTATAACAATAGTTAACAAACAATTTGTGA